TTCGTATCAGTCTGCAGATATTCTCGTAGCTAGATACTCTTCTATCTCGTTGAGGTTTAATACACACATGTATATATAACATGAAAATATATACATCGTTCGTGTCCTCTAAATCGAGGAATCTATTTCCAAAACCCTAGTGAAGGAAACCCTAAAGAGAGAAGAAGAGAAGATTTCAATTCTAAACCTTTTCTTTTTCACTTAGCTTGTGAATTGGTGTAATGCATATTTCTATCGAGACCGTGAAAGGAAAAAACATAAACCTAGAAGTTGAGGATAGCTCCGAGACCATCGACCTCAAGATTCATGGACCTACCCGTCAATTGGTTCTTCACCTGGGTCCGGATCTTGGTCCGGTTCCAGATCCAGTCATGACGATTTTTGTATTGACTCTATCGGGAAAGACGCTCAGTCTAAGAGTGAATGAGTACGATAGCATTAGAGAAGTCAAGTAAAAGTATGAGGAGATGGAAGGGATGCCAGTGAAACAGCAGAGGATAATCTTTCAAGGCACTCAGCTCGAAGACAGTCTCACCTTAGCTGACTACAACATCCAGCATGAGTCGAACCTTTTTATGGCGGCGCGTCTTTGCGGTTGCTAAAGTTTTATCTAAATCGGTCGTAAAGACTTGGTGTTTCATTTGTTTTTCCTTTTCTTTTTAACGTCTAATTCATTGCATAAGTAGTTCTTACATAGCCGTAAACGCGAAATCATGAAGTGACTCCTTTGCTAACGAGTCTACCAAACAAAAAGTGTGTTTCATTTGTAGTGCATGCTATATTTAATGCTTTAAGATCACACTTCAACAAATTTCTTAAATGATTTTGCCTTAAAATAATTAGAGAATAAATCATCATCCGTTAATGGGTTCGAAACTGTTAACAGAGTTGACTAACTGAATCTAGGTCAATGCATGTTTAAGCACTAAAATCCTATCTTGGACATGAAAATTGAATTTTTAAAAATTCGGGTATAAATAGGCACTATCATAAGTTCAAGTATGTATGATCTCGTTGGGTCTATCTCAGGTATGGATCAACACTTTTCCCGATCCTATTCATCATCCGTTTAGGGGATTCAAAACAATTAACGGAGTTGACTCGACCCTGACGGTATCTAAAACTTACGTTTTTAAAGACCACTAGTAATACTTTTTGCTTTGTGTTCGCATCTCTGAAGGCAAAATGTAAACTAGCTAGGGAGTAAGAATAATCTAAGCCTTTCCTAAGAAAATAAAATAAAGAATCAAGATTTTTTTCTCTTTTTGATGTGTGTGCATTACATCAATTTTTGGTTGATAAACATTGATCTCTTCTTTTTGTAGTTTTAAAATTTCTCGTTAGGGTTTGAGTTTTACATTTTTTTTCCATACCTATACTATACATATCAACTTATTCTACTTTAATAGTTTTTTAGTCGAAACGGACGTTTTCCAAAAAACTAAAAAGTCAAAAAAGGAAATAAATTAAACAAATGAATCTCTATTAGGGTATGATCGAACATATTATATACCGTATATATATTTCGTATCAGTTTGCAGATATTCTCGTAGATTCTTCTATATCTCTTTTAGGTTTAAGACACAC